ATGCACATTCGAGTTTGGGATGATGTGAAAAGAAAAAGAGTTCTCACACAATCTTCCAGCTGTGACGGTTGTCAAACCACATTTAGACGCTTCCTCTTCTGACTTTTCCTTCTGTGTTACTTTTGTTCCTAACACTTTTGTCATCCCATTGCATGGTCAGTTCTAAAGCTTGGAACACTCCAAACTCTGATGAAATGAATATGGAGCAGGGACAGCGTGGCACCAGTGTTTGGAGTCTGGCTTGCACTTGAATCCGTCTTCTGTTTATTGGCTAAGGGACTTGGGACACGTCAGTCTCCTTGAGCCTCAGTTTCCTCGTCTGTAATGTGGCACTTATGCTTACATCCTTCTCGTGGGGTTTTTATGAGGACTGAAGAATGAAATGCTACAGGCAATGCTATTCACAACGGCATCGCCCAATAAGCGGTGCTGTTGTTACTGATGGGAGCAAGTGGACCAGCCTAGCTCATGGCAAGCGTGTAACACCCGGCCATTTGGAGAGGGTGGGGTGAGGCGAGGTCAAGAGCCAGACTGCTACACAGCCAGCCCAGGGGAGCTCCAGGCATTCATTTCTTGAACATATTCTGTGATGTCTCAGCTAGTTATCCCAGGGTGGGTACCCCTTGCCAACTCCAGACCCCTGGCCACAGGATTGCTGAGTACAGGGCTTGGTGGTGAGCAGGTTATTTCCTCTTTCTTTTTTTCTTTTTTAAGATTTTTATTTATTTATTTGACAGAGAGAGACACAGTGAGAGAGGGAACATAAGCAGGGGAGTGGGAGAGGGAGAAGCAGACTCTCCACAGGGCAGGGAGCCCAATGTGGGGCTCGATCCCAGGACCCTGGGACCATGAACTGAGCCAAAGGCAGATGCTTAATGACTGAGCCACCCAGGCGCCCCTGTTGTTTCCTTTTTCACAAATATCCTGTGCTCTTACTTTAAACACAAGCTTGGGACTCCATGATGTTTAAAACAAAACAAAGCAAATTCACTTTTCCTCATTTCTGAAACAACCTCAGAGGATCACCTCCTCTGCCCTACTCTTCGCTAGCAGGCTTCTTTTTCCTCTTCTTGATCCCTTGCTCAGGACAACTGAAAGAAGATGGCATTAGCACTAACCACTCTGAAAGTGTTATCATCAAGGTCGCTGATGACCTCATCACCAAAGCCCTTAGTCTTAGGTCAGACCAAGCCTCCGTGCCTCTAAAGCAGTGCTGTCCAATGGAACGTTCGATGATGCTGTGTTCTGTTCTGTGTTGCCCAGGATGGCAGCTACTAGCCACACGTGGCTACCAGGCACCTGAAATGTGCCACGTGTGACCGATGAACCGAATTTTAAATTTTATTTAATTTTAATCAATTTAAATTTAAATAGTCATACATGTGGCTGGTGGTTGCTCTATTAGGCAGCACAGGTCTAGTCTAGAGCATTCCATTTTGTTTTCACCAATTTCTTTCTGGAAACCTATTTTTCTTAGTGTCGGTAGCACGGCATTTTTTTGGTTCTCTGTCAGCTCCTCTCTGTCTCCTCGTACTTCTCCTGCCCACTAGAAACATCATCCCCAAAGTGTCTTCTAGTGCTCACTCCTCTTTCTGGCTTCAGACCACTGTTTCCAGCTCCAGCCTGGTGTTGTCACCTTGGATTGACCATGACCCTGACTGAAAGACATCATTATCATTTCCACATCATTTCCCTCCTCCTCCATCTGGCTCTGCTCTTTCTTCTAATAACATCTCCTTTTCCTTTCCTCTCTGGCGTCACCAGATGTGATGTGATGTGCCTCCCTTTCTGTTGTCCCTCACTCCCTCACTCTTATAGAGTCTTGAGATTCCTCTTGCACTGTCCTCTGCTTTTCATTCTCAGGGGCTCTCCCTCTTCTTACGATTCCAAAAGCGGTAAATGCTTATTATTGAAAATTCATTAGATTCCCAAAAACACAAAAAAGGAAAAGAAAAAAGAGAAAAGAAAACTTGCCCATGGTTCTAGCTACCCAGAGAAGCACGCTTAGCTATTTGGTGTGTGACTTCCCCTGGATCGCCTCTCGTAACCTCTTGCCTGGACGGCTGTGACTGTGAACCCTCTGTGTCTCCCCATTCTAATCCATTGCTATTTCCCAAGGCCTGATTCTGATCATGTCATTCTTCTGTTACACTCGTAAATCTCCAGAGGCACCCAGTTGTCTACTGAATTAAATTTGTCCCTACTGATGGGGCATCATGCCAAGCCAACTCTGCTTTTCCAGTGTTCAACAGCCTGGGTGTGGGCAACGTTACTGACACATTACAACAAGGAACGCCCACAAAAGCAGGAAGTCACAGGATCAGTTATGGTGGTGACTAGATAAGCATTTAGTTTGGATTAGATTTACTAAGCAGATTGTTTTCCATTTTTTTTTTTCTTGAAGACAGAACTCCCAAGTTACTACCCTTTGGATTGAGGTAAACAGATTTATTGTATTGGATTTCACTTCTTGGGAAAAGTGTTTTCCTCTTTCAGTGAGTGAGATAGTTGCTGTTTCTAGTTCTGTATGTGTTGTCTGACTCTGCAGTATAGAACCCTTCAGGGTTAAGTATTTTCTTTCTTAAGCGCCTGGAGAGTACTCTTTCCCAGAGCTGAGAAGCTCTGACCCTCTGCCTACAGAACATGACTCCTGTTGTCTTGATATCTCAAATCAGTTATAAGGGAATCAATAAATATTGATTGCATGCTTAAAAGAAATGGGTTCCTCCTTGGGATGAAGATGTTCTGGACATTCTTAGAATTGGGGGTCTTCCTGGCAAATGGGTTTGGCTCCTTAACAAAGGCCACGTTGTCTGTGTCTTGAGCTCGCAGCTGGGCTCCCCCTGGCTGGGGGCAGGGACAACAGCTCTCCCTCACTACAGACTCAGCTGCCTGCCCTGCATGCTGTCACCTCCTTGGTGTTTGGGAGGTTTCATATGGAGGAGGACTTTGTCAAGTTTTGTTTGGTGGCCTGAAATTTAATCTGCTCCTTGAGAACGGATCTAGTCTTTAATGAATTCTGTCCTCAGCTCTGTCTTATTTATCTTTTAACAGCTCCCTGGCACATAGAAGCAATTAATGAATAGTTGCTATTATTAGGATTATCATTACACAGATAACTCCACAAACAAATTCTTTGTCTCGGCCTTTTCTTATGTTCGAGACTGAGGCTCCCAGCTACCTACTGAGTGTCATACACATTTGCACCTTTGCCTGTGCCACGGGCTCAGCCAAGCACACCTTTCCAACCTGCTCGCCTTCTATTAAAATCCTAGTCACACATTTAGGGACGACCGATGCCTCGTCCTCACTTGAAGCCTTCCCCCTTGGGAGTGTGGGAGCTCCTTGCCTCTATCCCTACCCTCCGCATTGTTTCTTACTACTCCCCACCTCCTGCCACAGTGAGCTAGCTGTTCCTTGCTGTAACTTCAGCTGTTCACACGGACGGCTCCAAATCCCTCTCCTCAGGTGGTGGAGGCTGTTCAAGCCCTTCATAATGCCTGCTGGGGTGGCGATCACGGAACCTTGCGTGTGGTACATGGCTGATTACTTTCTGTCTGATTTAAGCGGGTCTAGAAGTTCCCAAGCCACCAACTCTTTCTTGAACTGTGCCTGTAAGAGAGTGAGATCCGCGGAGCCCTGGCGGCACGCTCCGCAAGCATCCTCACTACTCAGCTGCTGGCTCCAGGGGTGCGCCGTGGACTAGGGGCTCGGTGTGAACAAATGACTCTGGTGCTGGACTCCCCAGGTTGAATTCTTTGTTGTGGCTCCAGGGATCTGGAGGGATCATAAGGATAATTCATAGAAAAAACAGTTTATTGCCAAATGTTAGAGGTCCACATTTCCTTTTGGGGTCCTGCAGGCCACATGTTTCCTCAAAAATGAGATCAGAAAGAGAAGAGTACTAAATCTTATCCATGTAATTTGCCTTTGCTTTTGTGAAGGGGAGCACTGTGAAGCAGGGGGGACCCAGTTTCTCAGTGCCTCAGTTTCCCCATCTGTAAAAGAGGATAACATACCCAAACCAAGGAGTCTTGTGAAGATTAAATGAGTCCTACATATAAAGTGCTCAATAAATAGAGCTTTTTAAAAAAGATTTTATTTGTTTATTTGAGAAAGAGAAAGAGCACGTCTGAGAGAGAACATGAGTGGTGGGGAAAGGCATAGGGAGAGGGAGAAGCAGACTCCCTGCTGAGCAGGGAGTCCAACACAGGGCTCCATCCTAGGACCCTGGGATCATGACCTGAGCTGAAGGCAGACGCTGAAATGACTGAGCCCCTTAGGTGCCCCAATAAATAGAGCTTTTATTATTATATATGTGCTCAGTAAGTGTTAGCAATTTTTATTTTATTACTGTTGATGCACTGATGAATATTGTCCAAAAAATAATTTTTATATGAGGTTGCCAGCACTAGAGAGAGATAAATCCTCATGGTCACCTAAGTTACTTTCATTCTGAGGAGATTCCAGAAATAGTTCAAAAAATATCAATAATCTCAATCTCCAAAGTTTTTCTATGAATAGCGCCCACTTTATCATACTTGCGCATATCCGTTGTGATACACGGCGCTCCTGTCATTTCACATCCACACAACGTCAGATGTATCATACTATAGTAACGACTCAGTTGACCTCCACAGTTGACTGTAGATATTAAAAAAAAAAAAAGTGAATGGAAAGGAATAAAAGCTTTCTTCTTACTCCTGCAGTGCTGCAGTTCTCAGGGGCTGAAAATTACAGTTACGCTGTCATTATAAGGCAGTTAACTCTAGAATGCTTTGCTTTGTCTCTCGCATTTCAAAGGAACACGTGTCCAAAAGGCCTTCTTCTCATTTGAGGATCTTGGCATCGTCAGGTTTTGTCCAAGGGCACAACTATGACAATACCGTCTGCCCCAGCTGCCAAAAGTAACACGTAGTGACACGCTGCAGTCGAAGGGGGGAGAATGGTCCCTTTATGGTGACTGCCTTGGAATTATAAATATTTTTATTTCTCTGTAGGAGATGGCTCGTGGAAGAGAGGAGACAAACATGACTTTGAAGCTAAGCAAGCATACTCATCCCTCCAAACAATCACTCTACTGAGGACAGTGAAGCCTGAATTTGAGAAGTTTTCCATGGAGGTGAAAAGTTCTGTTGAGAAACAAGGACTCAATGAGGAGGATTATGTAAGTGCTTGATTATGGGCCTAGGCCTTCCGCATCCTGAAAACAGTCTTCTAATTAAATCAGAGGTGACAGTGTCCCATTCTGAACCATTCAGAAATTCCTAGGTTCGTGTCTGAATGTCACTGAGCTTTCTCTGTGTTTTTTTTCTGGCCCGCTTCCACCCCCCAATTACCCCCACACCACTTTTCCAACTGCTGCAGGAAGGAAAATTGCTTTTTGTGGGTACTTGTGGAAATGCTGAGCAGATGTTGGTAGACTTCCGGCACCTATTTGACTGGGAGTGTGTTGTGGGGGGAAGATGGATGATGGAGTGCCCAAGTTTTGCATGCCGAATTTTTCCAAAGCCCAATGGCAGGAGATATTTTGGGTTTTAGAAGTCTCTTCCTTATGACAATCTTTTTGGCAAGTCTGCCCCGTCTCCTGTGGCAGTGTCATTTCCCTTGGGGCTTCTAGAGCTTCCTGCTCCTCAGTGCTCTTGTTACTGATGCATTTTCCAAGAGAGGACGAGGGTCAGGAGCTTTGGCCATGCTAAGGACCGAGCAGAGTTGCTCATCTGAGAGGTGGCACCGAAGCCGGCTGGCCACACCTCACTTGGCACCCTTGTTCTGCCACCTCTGGTTCCTCAAAACTCGGCATCATTCCTGTAGATTTATTCTCAGAGCAGGGTGAGCCACGGATTCCTCAGACCGATTGGGTGCCTGTGCTGGTTTTCAACACTGTTCACTCCACAGTGTCCAAGGCAGAAAAGAGACACCTTCTTAACAGGAGATATATCGCTTTGGATTGTTCTTGCCCGAAGTGGATAATGACTGTCTTCGTAAGACCAGCTTCACTTGGGCACTTCCAAACAGGGCCTCTCTCAGTATCTTTAGTTGAAGTACTGCAGGGTACAGACATTGGCCCCAGACAGACCTACATTCAGAGCCTGAAGCTAACACTTCTTAGCTGTGTGATCTAGGGCAAATTACACAGTCTCCCTGGTCCAAACTACTCCTCCCTGTTGGGAGGATTACAGAGAATCTATCTGAAGCATTTAGTATTATCCCAGTTAAAAAGTTGGAGCTCCATAAAGGATGCCTCTTTTATACTATTGTTATATTACTCCTGGCTTTATAAGAATTTGCTATCAAAAGACATATAAAGGGTCTTATAAACATATTTATTCATGTTTTAAGTGTTATATATAATACACATATCATTTAAAATACCTTTTGACTTTCTAAATCAGTACTGTCCAGTAGATGTATATATGTGAGTTGCAAATGTGAGCCACGTATGTAATTTAAATGTAATTTAAAATTTCTAGTAGCTACATTTTTGAAAAGTTAAAATAACCAGGTGAAATTAATTTGAATAATACATTTTAACTCACATAGACAATGTTCTTTCAACATTGAGTCAATGTAAAAACTATGGATGAGATTATATATTCTTTTTACTGTGTAAAGTCTTCGAAATCCAGTGTGTATTTTACCCTTACAACATACCTTAATTCCCTTCGAATGCTCAGTAGCCATGTGTGACTAGTGGCTACCATATTGGACAGTGGGTTCTGAATTATGAAGGAAGTGGAGCTTCTGCAGTAGAGCCCAGGTTTGAGGAAACCTATGATAGTATTGTCATCATCCAATTCCTTTGCCTCAGGAATAGGAAAGAATGTAAAGGCACTGAGCATTTTTATTTGGCCTTTTACCTGAAGCTGTTGAAGTTCAAGTATCACAATAGAGACTGTCCCACATAATGATACTTCTTGGGCAAAAGAAATGTGTACCTTTGTACCTACTAGAAAGATCTATAATATATTCCAAACCAAGCACTAGTGCTTTAGAGATTAGTTGTGGTTGTAGATTACAATTATACAAATATAATATACAAATTATAATGTTAAGTAGAAATTAGAGCTCATAATAATTTATTTCAATTCTGAACATGTGTCTCCTTTTCATATTTTATGTATTTTTTTAAAGATTTATTGATTTACTTTTAGGGGGGAGGGGCAGAGGAAGAGGGAGAGAGAGAATCTCAAGCAGACTCCCTGCTGAGCGCAGAGCCTGGCGTGGGGCTGGATTCCACAATCCTGAGATCATGACCTGAGCCGAATTCCAGCGTCAGATGCTAAACTGACTGAGCCACCCACGCGCCCCATCATATTTCATGTGTGTTTAGTTGGGCTCTTCTCAGTGCCATCGAGTTAGTGTGGACAGGTAGTTGTGGTGAGTATTGTGGAAGAGGGAGATGTGGGAGCCAAAGACCCAGGAGCTGCTCTAGCTGGGACTCACAGGTGCTAGAACTTGATCTAATGCTGTAGGAGACGCTTAACATAGCTAGCGAAGCTTGGTGGTCTTCATTCTAGGGCTCAGCTCTTTCCTAGGTCTTTCTACTTTTCTTCTTTGTACTAATGGGTTGTCTTATCTGCTTACTTAGAACTTCAGTTCATGACACTCATCATGGGCTCTTTAGCCTCTGCTGTTGATTTCAAATCCAGCAACTTTGGTGGACTCTTATTAGTTCTAAAATTCACCACTCATTTTTTTAAACAATCACATGACTTGTGAATAGTGACAATTTTGTTTCTTTTCAATTCTTCTCCTATGTATGCTTAATTAAAAGTATACTTCATTAAATTAAGCATATTAAATTAAATTAAGTGTAACTAATTATCTTAAAACTTTTAATGGCATTGGCTAGGATCCCAGTACCGTATCGAATAAAAGCAGTGATAGTGAGCATCCTTGCCTTGTTCTTAACTTTAATATGAAGAACACATAATGGTTTCCTATCTGTTCCAATCATCATTTATGCATAATGTTTAGTGTGGGATTTGGGGGAGAGTCCTTATTAGATTATGGAAGTTCCTTCCTATTCTTTGTTGGTGAGGTTTTGTTTTGTTTGGGCAAAACTATATCTTTTATTAGAATAACTGAAACAAAGGTAGCATAACAAGCATTGGAGTTTATATAATGGACGTTAGGGAAAAGTGACAGACACAGGTTTTTATTGTAGGCACTGTAAATTGTAATATATCCCTGACCCTCTGTCATATGTGTGAGTGCTGCTTTCATCATATTCAGTATGTAGGCAGCAGCCTTGGAAATGTTGTGATCTCAAAATGCAAAAATGTGAAACTTTAAACTTTGATAGCCTATACTGAAACATTGGGAAGTTGGAGGGGGTATGATTATTAAAATAAAATTAGTATTTTATGTTTTCAATTTATCAAATTTTGATGGATTAATGCTATTTTGTTTCCATAAAATCGATCTTTTCCTTCATCTCTCCCTTTTTTCCTCCATCTCCACCTCTTGCACTGTCTTCTTAAAGTTGATTTTTTAATTGAGATAAGTGAAGTTTTAAGATGCAGTACAGAGAGATCACTTGTATACATTGCCCAATTTCCCCTACTGGTAACATTTTGGAAATTATGTATAAGATCACAATACAGATATTGACACTGACACAATGCACTGACCTTATTCCTGTGTATGTGTGTGTGAGTGTAGTATAGAGTGTGCAGATTAAGTTCCATGCAATTTTATCACCTGTGTAGGTTGGGGTGTTTGAATTTCATCAAATGCCTTTTCTACATTTGCTGAGATAATCAGATGGGTTTTTTTTAATTCTGTTATAATGTACTAAGTTGTATTACCAGATTTTTCTCTTTTCCAGTTTTATTGAGATATAATTGACATATAACATCATATAAGTTTCATATTTGATATATGCATATGTGGCAAAATGCTTACCATAGTTAGTTTACTTAACATCCATCACCTTGCATAGTCAAAAATTTTTTTCTGGTGATGAGAAGTTTTATGATCGACTGTCTTTGCGACTTTCCAATATACAATACAGTATTAATTATAGTCATCACACTTTACATTAAATTTCCAGAACTTATTTATCTTATACCTGAAAGTTTGTAACTTTTAACCACTTCTATTACTAGATTTTTCTAATTTTAACAATGTCTGCACTCCAGGCATAACTCTGCTCTCTCTACTCTTCAAGACTTTGAGCTTTTCCGTTTCCCAGGTCATATTTTGGAGAATAAGATTACGGTTGAACCTATGCATGTTTGCCTGGGTGCAGCTTCTTCAGCTGTGCCATCTCAAGGGCTATTGGCAGCCTGTACGTTAGCATCTCTGAAGTATCTACTCCTGTTTCCTTTATCTTTGCTGGGTAGTTTGGCAGGTGCATGTGTGTGGCGTGATAGAAAATCAGACTGCTTAGGGCTGGGCTTTCATTGGGACTGTATGTGTTGCATGTACTGTAATGGTCTGGTTATTAGTATATGTGTCTTTATGATGATGTTTCCACCATTGCTATGGGTAATACAAAATACATATTTTTAAAAGATGTATTTATTTATTTTGGAGAGAGCGAGAGGGAGAGCAAGTGCTTGTGCGAGTGGGGGTAGGGGCAGAGGGAGAGGGAAAGAAATCCCAAAGCAGACTCTCCGCTGAGCGCAGAACCCTATAATGTGGGGCTTGATCACACCACCCTGAGATCATGACCTGAGCCAAAGTCAAGAGTCGGCCACTTGACCGAGTACGCCACCCAGGCACCCCTAAAATATTTTTTTTAAAGTACATTTGTCCTCTTACTAGTGAACCTGGTGGAGACCTATTCCATTCTGATACACCGTGTTCTAGGAGGGCCCAGGAGCCACTGCTGCAGATAGTGTAGCCTATGGTTAAAATATGTAGGCTGGGGTTTCATAGACCTGGCGCTGCCTCGTACTGTTCTTATCTTGGGCACATTCCTGGGAAGCTCTGTGCCTTAGTTTACTGACTATAAAATGGGGAAGATAATTTTTAACTGACAAGGCTGTTGAAAGAACTCAAGAATCATATATAAATAATATTTAACACAATGCCAGGCACTTAGCAAATATTCAATGGATGATAGCTGTTATTTCTTTTACTTTTGTTTCTTATACTCCAGACCAATGTACATGATGCTCCTGCATGCCTACGGTATCCAGTACTCCTACCTACCCT